ATTTTACGAATATTGGAATCAAAATTTGTTGGCAAATTTCGCTGTGCATTCTTTACAGCTCACCCGCATTTGCCCGTGGCACGGGGTCAATGTCTATAATTTTTTGTAGCTCAGTAACAAGTTCACTGTAGCTATTATTTAGTGGCATCCACATATGCTGAATACATTTTCTCCTGTATGTGTTTTCAAGTAAACTCATATAGGAAATCAAATGGATATTGACACACTTCCAAGATAACTGAAAGGCAATTCACATAGTAGATCAATCGCCCTTTTCTCATAATCATTGTTGTTAGCACGAGCTAAAAAATTATCTGTTGCCTAATTCGGCAGTAAAATATCATTTTGCATTTCAGTATCATGCTAAATCCACTGCTCTTGCTGCTACTGATTCCATACTGCACGGCAATACTGGGCATTGGACGAGAGCAATCGGTTGCTGTTACCGGGCGGTTGTTATGCAACGGTCTCCCAGCTTCCAACATCAAAGTCAAACTTTTTGACAAAGAACTGAGTATGTTGAATGTACAGTCTAACAGATTTCACGGTCACGGTGCCCCTACAGTGATGACAACATTTGCTCGATAATAAATGACTCGCTCATGAATGGCGAGGGTTCGCTCGCGATTTGCGCGCGAGCGTCAAATTTGCTAGCTACTTTCGTCATTGTTTGTAAAATCAGATAAAATTCAGCACTGGACCGAAAAATGGATGAAACCACTACAAACAGCTCGGGAGTGTTTCTGATGTCTGGGCGAAAACGAGAAATCACAAATATTGACCCTAAGGTCAACATCTATCACAGATGTAATTATTTTGGGGTGAGTCACCACTGTGCTCTTATTTCCAGCCATCAGAAAAGCTGATTATAGGCTTGTTACAAGAAAATCGGCATACACATTCCACCGCAGTATGTAACCGATGGTCCGAATCCCAAGGACACCTACAATATTGGAAATATCAATTTGAACAATCAGTGGAGTGGTGAAACTGTTGATTGTATCAATTGAAGCTTTCCGCACTTATTATGACGCAGTTCTTGTAAAATCAAAATATACCTTGTTAGTAATGTTTTGCTCAACACTCTCAATCGCTTGATTTTATGAATAATCAATTCCGAAAAGGTATTTGCATATGTTAACCTCTTAGTGTAATGTCGTTGGTCATACCGTGATGTTCTTTGATTTCTGAACAAACACTATGTTGGTGACGCCGCGAATATGCCTCAGCAAATAAAACAAAAAG